CATAACCTCATAATAACTTGAATACCAAACCTGCAAATTCCCCTATTGTAAACTTCCTAGAAAAATTTAATTAAGCTTGAAACACATGTATCAGCCCAAAGAAGAGTTTTTGTGGGAAGAGTTTAAATTTATATAATTCTCATATATTAGTTTACCAGAAATGTAAGAAAAGGGGGTGTGATGTTTTCCTGTGTTTTCACAACTTTGGGGGAGAAGCTGCTGGACCCTGTCAGGCCAGGGAGACCTTTAGGAAGGAACAGAGTAGATGGACATTTGAAACAAATGTTCAGTGGAAAAGGTACAAATTGTGACAGAAAGTTTTGTTTTGTGCACAAAAGTCTATTTTACGGAGATTTTCAAGTGTGTAATTCACATTTTTCAAGTATAGGAAAGTATTCAGGTAGGGTCTTTTGCAGTATAATATTCTTTAAATACCATAGGATTTTAGGTATAAAGTTAAGGAGGAAATGTTTTATTATGATAAATTGCCTGTTTTGTTACGGATTTAATATCAATATCAGGTTTTGATGGCTATGATACTATGTCAATTTTTTTAAGATTTAAGATTCCCAATCAAAAGGATGAAGTTGTAGAAAATTAATCAGTTGCTGCTTCTTGTCTATTTGAGTGAAGTTATTCTCTAAAATTGTAGATTTATAAAAAATTTTCAACATGTTTTGAATTTGACAAGTGTAAAACTATGTTAGAAATTCACAAAAATTCACAAAATCCTGAGAAACCAAATTTACTGATCAAGGAGGAAATCTTTCCTTAAGTAAGTTAGTAATTAGCATCAGAAAGAAAGACTCATAGTTCATCAATATGTTTGTAATTTTTGCACCACTACGATTGACAAGTTAGGGTGGCATAGGTATCCATAAAACATGCTCAGAATCTAGAAAAATGCCCTATGCCAGAGAAATCTCAGGGCCCCAGCTGCTTCCTTTTGTCTGCAGTCACACAATGTCAGGAGAAGCGTCCCAAATAGCATCCCCAGCCACCAGCTCTGGAAGCCCTCACTATACACCTGAAAGACAGTGTGTCTCTGCAGAGAGGCAAGTGTTCTCATTTTCTTTGCTGAAATCTGAGCTTTTTCTAGGTTCACAGAAGAAGAAGGGAGGGAAAGGAAAGGAGAGAAAATACTTCCTCCTGGCTTTTCATCATTAAAGAAGAAAAAAATATGTTTTTAGTAACCTTATGAATCTGTCTCAGTGTTTTCTACATCCATTATGCCATTGAATAAGCAATACAGTTCCACAGTGCATCTCTGAAACTTGGGTCCCAATCCCTTCTTCCTTCAATTCAGAAATTCGGAGGATTTAGACAGGACAGTAAGAATATTGCTTATCCCTCCTCCCCCACCCCACTCCTGCCCCCAACAGGGGCTGGTCAGTATCATCTGCTGCCCGGTTACTGCTCCTGCACCAGCACAGATGTGCCACCACGTGGGAGAGAGGAAGGTCCAGGTTATCCTGTGGGAATGGTTAGGTTGCCACCAAGCGGGTTGGAAAGGTTTGTTTCTTAGCACTTTGCAGTTTTGGAGCTGTGGATAGTGGGAGCTATCTTTTTTTACTTATGAAATACCTCTCCCTGGAGAACTTTACTCTCACAATACCCTCAGAAAACCTGGAGGTGTTAGTGTGATACTAGCGTGATATTACCATTTCTGAGTTTCAGGTTAGTCCTTCAGGTTACACTGGTACAGCTTTCAGGTCGCATGCTCTATTTATTGTTTCAGATATTTATTGCACACACACATCCCAAAACACTCATCTCAGAGAGGGTTCTTCTACACTGGGCGCACCACACGTGCCCTGGGTTCCTCCTGCCAATTATGAAGTCCCCTTGGATCTGAAGGGAATCTTCTAAAACAGCATTTCCCTGTCCTTTGTAGGAAAACAAACACATTGTGAATTTTGCAATCCTCCTATCAAATTTAACTTTTTATTTTTATTTTTTCACTTTATGATGTCTCAGTGAAATTGGTTGTTGCCCTTATTTGTGGCAAATTCCTATTTGATGTATTGATAGAAATTTTAGTGTTATCTGCAGTAGATCGTTGGAACTCTACATGTTTTACGAACAGCAAAAGCATTAGAAAAGATGCAGCATCAACCCCCTCTATCAAAGGCACCAAGAGACCACATTTTTGCTGGCAGCACTAATAACTACCCAGATGTTTGGGGAAAAAATCTGATTGATATTAAAAATAAGAAGACTTGGATTTTATTCCCAGTTTAGCAAATCACTGTCTCAGGGCCCTTTTTTTCTTTCTGTAAGAAATGACCACTGTTTAGGGTAATTTATACATTGGCATTTATCGGGTGCTCTGAACTCTGGGGAGATGGCTGGGTGGGGGGCCCTGAGAGAGGAAGCTGAGAGTTTTCAGCTCTTTTGTTAGGATTGAGCTTCTCTTGTCTCTGGAGATAGAGTGACCAGTCTTCCGCTAGGGCAGCTTTCCGCTGCGGCCACAGAGCTTGGCCAGCTCACTGACAGGTCTGGCCACCTCTCAGTTACTCCAGATGTTTGCAGACAGCAGAAAGGCAAATAGAACATTTCTACATCGACGTCCTCAGGGAAGGCTTAAGAGCCATGGATCCCTTCCAGAATGTAATGGGCTTGGACGGGCTTCATGTCTTAGTGATTTCTTGTTGTATTTGTCTGTGTAACCTCGCCCTGGGGGAAAGCCTGAGAGCCCACTGCAGGCTCCAGTGAGGAAGTCAAACCTGGGCTTGTCATCAGGGAAATTTGTTTGCCAACAAACTAGTGTTTGGTGGTAAGACAATCCCTCTTCCTTCAACTTCTTCCTTCCCCAAATAAACTGTAGACGTGATGAGTGTGAGTAAAGCCAAGCTCAAGCTACAGCTTCATTGCCTTTCTCACAGCTTCACCCAGTAAAAGTTCATCCCTAAAGAGTACCTTTTGATGGACACTGAAGGCGCCATCGAGGCACTCACGTATCAGTGACTCTACTCCCCTTTCTCAGAGGAGCAAAATAAGGGAGGAAAAAAAACACACAGAAATCCGAGTGTTTGGTGAACTGAATATTTGCTCTAACTATGCCTTAACAGTGTATGAGTAACGATTCCAAACCCTCTTCTGAGTTGAATTTTCCTGATCCCAGAGCTTACCTGTTTAAAACCTCCAGTGACTGACTGAATACTAGGTCAGTTTGAATTCTATCATCCTGGCAGTGCAGGGCCTAAAAAACATGTGCCTAGTCTTTCTTTTATTTAGCTTCATTCCCTCTTATAAACTATCCACTCTGATTGATCTCTTCGGTTCAGATTATATGGCCTCCATGCTCTGCTGTATTCCATTGAGGAGATCCGTGACAGTCCTCCCCTTTTCTCCTTGCAGACCCTGCTCCAAAACCTGTTCCTACACCAGAGTCCATGGGGGCTCCTTCTTTCTTCTGAACTTTTAAATTTTGTTTGAATCTACATGATCAAACACTGCTCATATTGTCAGTTACCTTTCCATTCCTACCTCTGGCCGCCCACACTCAATTGTGAGCCCCTTTTAACTGAGGACTTTGGCTCATTGGGGTTTTTGTTTTGTTTGTTTGTTTCTTTGTACCCTTAGTATACCTTCCACATAGCAGGGGCTCCAGAAATGCCTCCAGCTTGTTGGTTATTAATTGACAAATTCTCGCCTTCCCACTTAGATGATAACAGTGCCAGTACTTGGATTTATTAACTCAATAACAAGTTCAGCTTTTCCTTCTGGGTGCTTGTTCAAAGCCAGAATTTGCTAACACCCACTACCACTGTTTCTTAGTCCACCTGAAAAATGCCCTTTCTGGGATAAGCTATAATGTCATCACCCACCATACATGTGTTTCTTTGTCACCATATACATGAACTGAAAGCATTGGAATGGTTTTGCCCAGGGCCACTTGGTATCAGAAGGGCAGCTACTGTTCCATTGCAGCGGGCAACGTTCACAGCCGGGTGGGGACTTGGGAGAGCACGTTCTCCAGTTAGCCATATGGGCACTGGGGATGGGGGGATGAAAGTGGGGTGTTGTCCATATGCCTCAGGAGCTCCCATCTATCACTGTAGCCTGCCTTCCTTCCTTCCTTCCTTCCTTCCTTCCTTCCTTCCTTCCTTCCTTCCTTCCTTCCTTCCTTCCTTTGAATTCCCTTATTGAGCTGCTAGCTCACCGCTTGTTAGATGTCACTGCCCAAGGTCCCTGTGGGCAGTGTTTGCCTTGTTTGGGGTGAGCAGCATGGAATCTGCTAGACTGGTCCAAGGCAGGACTCCACAGGGTGAGCTCTGAGTGGCCTTGGTGGACCAGTATAGGGAAACAGGACCTCCCCAAGTGGGTGCCACTAATTGCCTCTGGAGGTAGAGAGTGGGTGCAAACACCCGGAAATCTGTCCAGAGGGGAGCCGAGCATTTGAAGTGCGCTGGTTACAGGAGGAGCGGTGAATGCATTTTCCATACCCGAGAACAGGGAGTCTGCGGGGAAGAGTTTTCCTGGTGCCTGACCTCCTCCTCATACCAGATAGTCTACTTCACACTTCCAGAGTAATTTCTATTTCTGAGTTATTTGTCATCTTCCAGGAAACAGGTTCCAAAGTGTGATCAATCCTAGCAAAGAAAACAGTACGTGTGTTAGTGAAGGAGTAACTCTCCTGGAAAAAGCCTCCAGGTGGCCCCTCCTTGGAGCCTCAGGAGCCCATGGCAGTGCCCCAAACCTGACAGGCACACTGGTGACCCTTCTCCCAGATTCCAGCTACCCAGGGCCTCGGTCTGGGTGCAGGGTTTGAGAAGGAACCACAGCCATCTGTGAGCTCTGGGCTCTTAGTGTGCCTCTTCGTCGCTAGTAAGTTAGTAAGGAAATAAGGAAATAAATAAAAGGCGAGCACCCCTTTCTCCCATCACTTTTCTTTAAAATGGAACCGATGCGGGGTCTCACCATGAGGCCTCGTGCGGTGGTCACTGGAGGGTGAATGAGTTCCTTGGTATTCCCTTTGTCTCTGCCCTGTCTTGCAGCAATGAAGTGGTGAGGAGTGACTTGAAGAAGCTACCAGCGCTTCCCACCCAAGCCCTGAAGGAGCACCCTTCCCTGGCCTACTGGTAAGCTGCCCTCTCCCAGCGCCCAGGCGTTTTCTCCAGGAGCCAGCCCTGCTTGGGTTGTGTGGGGCTTTCGACCAGAGCCCCCTCCCGGCCACGCAGGGTCACCCCGAGCCCCAATTGTATAATAAGTAGCTGGGGTCCCCATGAAACCAGTTTCTGCATTTATTTAAATGTCACAGTATGTGTGACATCTCTCCTTTCCCCATTTTCTTTCATTTAAAAAAAAGAAAATCTAGAGTTTCACGTTGAAAGCTTCCCCTCCTTGGAGATCCTTTCAAGTGCTGCTCGGGTTTCCTTGTGGAATCCCGTCTTTGATGGCAGGATGTGCGGGGGCTTGAGTTGGGGAGGGCTGCAGGGTTCTTTCTTCACAGAAGAGCGAGGTGATTCTTTCATTTCCCCACAATGTTTTGTGTCTCCTGTGTTAGCTGCCATGAAGCATTAAGCCCTAGTTCATCTGTCAGGCCGGAAGTTACTGATTCTGAGTGAGGCGGGTGTCTGAAAGGTGCCAGATGGGGGGTTGGGTCACATAGAGCGGGGTTTGCATTTCTGGGTCCTGGATTGAATTCTGCTGGGCCCCACCGATCCTGACCCTAGAGAAGCACAGTGCGGCTTTCCCATCCTCCTTCTGACTCCTTACCAAAAAGCATCAGAACTGCTTTTATAAAACAAAAGTTAAAATCCCAGAACAAGTCGATCCTGATAAACTATAACATGGCTCTTATACACACTTCTGTGATGTGCTTGTAAAGTTTACGGATTTCTCACAGCTCCTCTTGTCTGGGTGCTTTTCCAGTGCCGCTGGGGTGGGGGGAGGGGAGGGTTGGAAGGGATTCCTTGGCCAGGCCAGGGTGTTCTTGAAAGACAGTTCTAGATGTGGCTGGAGAGGAAGATGTCCTCCTGACACACAGGGCACAGCAGGAGTAAATGCCAGGACAGGTCATTCTCCCCCAGAGGCCCCTGGGCTGGAGCTGAGAGGGCTGCGTGGGCTGGCACCCTGATTTCATTCCTCTGAATGCTTTTGCTACCTTTCTTCCTCCGGTAACATAGACGGATAACTAGTGGCTTTGTGTCATTTCAAAGACGGAATCTGTTGCATGTGTCAGCTTCCGAACTTCCAGCCTGGCCACCTGCACCTGTGAACCCCAGCTGATGGCATCCCTGTTCCTGTGTTCCTGGAACACTATTGCCCTCTCTCCAATTCCGTAGGCCCCTGGGCCTTATCTGCTCTCTCCCCCAAGTGGTTTCTTTTCAGGAAACCAGAGGTGAAGGAGCTAGAGACACAAGGGTTTAACAATGTGAGCGGGAACTGCTGGCAGGGATGGTAATGTTGGTGGGTTGTTTGGAAATCAGAGTTGTTTTTAGCCTAATCCGTCCCTCAGTTAGCTCCTCATTCATTTGTTTCCAAACATGTTTTACTCTCTGTGCTCATTTCAGAGTTATGAATTCCTCTCTCTCTCCAACACAGTTCTCTCCCCGACCCCCCTGTGTCTCTGTCAATATTTCTGACACACAGATTCCTTCTTTTCCTTCCTTCTTGTTCACAGGTTCTCTTTGGTCAGCAGGACATCTTCCTCTCCATTCACATCTGTAACTGTCTTTCGAGAACACTCCTCCTTCTCCTGTCCCTGTATAGACCCACAGGCACCCAGCCACCGTCTCAGTGCACCAGAGGATGCAGGGCAGTGGAGGGACGTGCTCTCAGGCGATACTGTGGCCTCACAGATGGTCTCAGACAGGAGGCGAGGTGACGGGGGAGGGCCCTGCAGCTGTCATGCACGTTGAGAACCCATGGCCAGGCATTCAGTCCATGAGCAGCAGAACAGCTGCCTGGCAATGTTTCTGGCTCAGTGGTGTTTTCCCAGAGCCTCAATTATGTTCGGAGCTGCAGCACTATATAGATTTTTATCTCTAGCTCAGTCGGCTCCTCTCTCTCAGAGCTAAGAGGGAAATAGTCTCATATATACATGGACTTGCTTGACCCTGGATCTAGGAGTGGACCCCACAAAATTCCAGATCATGTGGTAGGAAATGTGCCAACGCAGCGTGGATTCAATGGGCAGGTGGGGAGGAATCCAGAGGGCAACTCTAGGACATCTTGACCCACCTCTGCGTATCTGTTAAGGCTGGCATCTACCCAAAGAGGATGCTTCTAGAGAATTCTGTCAGGAGAGGGCTTTGTCACACTCCATGCAGAACCTCCATGGTCTGTGGGCACAGAGGAGAAATAGGCTTCATTTTTGAGGACAGAAGGTGCCCAGATGCCACAGAAACAGCTCTCCAGCTACAGGAAGGACCCTCATAGGAGCCAACCCTGCCCACAGTTCCTGGTGTATATGAAGGTGCTTTCTTGTGAAGAGTCAGACCACTTTACATGCACCAAATTTCAGAACACTAGAATGAAGAAGTTTTTGTAAAGATTGAAATAGTATTCTCTAACCGGTTTGGCACAGTGGATAGAGCGTTGGCCTATGGACTGAAGGGTCCCAGGTTTGATTCCAGTCAAGGGCATATACCTTGGTTGTGGGCACATATCCACTAGGGAATGTGCAGGAGACAGCTGATCGATGTTTCTCTCTCATCGATGTTTCTAACCCTCTCCCTTCCTCTCTGTAAAAAAAATCAATAAAATATATTTTATTTTATTTTTTAAAATATATTTTATTGATTTTCCACAGAGAGGAAGAGAGAGAGACAGAGAGCCAAAAACATCGATGAGAGAGAAACATGGATCAGCTGCCTCCTGCACACCTCCCACTGGGGATGTGCCCACAACCAAGGCACATGCCCCTGACCGGAATCGTACCCGGGACCCTTCAGTCTGCAGGCTGACTCTCCATCCACCGAGCCAAACTGGCCTTGGCAATAAAATTATATTTTTAAAAACAGTATCTGGAAGGTAAATAAATTACTCCCAAGTAGAAGGTAAGGAACATATAGAACATTACCCCTGAAATGGTCTAGCTGGAAAAGAAGCGGTGAAAAAGCCTTCAGACTAGTTCTGGAAACATTAATAGTAGATAATAAAGATCTACCACTGAGGTCTTGAAGGTCCATTTCTAGTCTGTCATAAGGTTTCAAGGCTGTATGCCAGGTCACAAGACCCAAGTTTTGTACCTGACTCCTTAGCAGGTGGAATGCGCTTCCCCTGAGACTCCCAAGGTTAACTCTGTGCTTCTAAAAGCGACAGTGGGAGCAGCCAAAGCTCCCACCTGGCTGGGCCCAGAGACACTTATCAGAGAGGCCCCTCCAGCCCTCTGCTCTGTCAAAAAAATGTTTGGCTAGCCATTATCACCCAAGGCAAGAGCTGATCTCTTCTTGTTTGGAAATTAAGAGTTCAGAAGACAAAAAGGGAGTTCCTTCTGAGCCTTTCATCACGGTCTCATGCTTTGTGTTAACTAGGCCCTAATTCCCAAACTTCCCCCCTCCACTTTGACATCTGATGCGGGCGGGGGGGGGGGGGGGGGGATGTTCTGGTGAGGTTCTGGTGTTCTGCCCTCCCCTGAGAGGCCCTGGGTAGACAGGATTCGGAAGTGAGAAGGAGGCCCCAGGGAGTTCAGCCAGAGCATTCACTCTGATGTCCAGCCAGTCGGTCCTCTTCCTGTCCCCTGTCCCCTGTCCCCTGCCCTTTCCATCTGAGATGCTTGCTCTCCACTTCTTCCTCTTCTCTTATGGAATCAGAGAGAAGGAACTTGCAAGGAACTGACCCCAAATCTGAGCTCTTATCTTAATTCTGTGAGGATAAGTCCAAGATAAAGACAGCAAGAATCCTCTGACGAGGAAATGGACTTTTTAAATCGGTTTGGAAATGCCACTTTAGGACAAATCCTTTTTCCAGGAGCTGTTGGCTCCTTGGAACTTCTCAGGAGCTTCTTAGACTGAGAAGAAGCATCTCCATTAGGCGGGTGCTCAGCTATTGACTCAGTGAGTATGGTAACAGAACCCTTTTCTTATACTTTCAGTGAGGACCGAGTGATTGAGTACTACAAAAAACTGAATGGCCAGACCAGAGGGCAAGCAATTGTGAAGTAAGTGCTCCCCAGTGCTCCTGAGATTGTGTATGTCAGGGTGTTCAGTTCTTCTCAGAAACCCATATCTCTGGAGGCAGGGGGGGTGGTGCAGAGTGTAATTCAAGTTAATTTCCAAGTAAATAATCACTTTAAGAACTTTATCACACACACACACACACACACACACACACACACACACACACACACACACGTACATGATAGCAGTTCTGCCAAATAACCACCCTGTGTGTGTGTTTTGCCTTCCCAGCTACATGAGTATCGTGGAGTCTCTCCCAACCTATGGGGTTCACTATTATGCAGTGAAGGTAAGTGAATTCATTTGCTGATGGTTGTTAAGCCTGTCCTAACTTTTTTTTTTTTTAATTCTCATTTAAAAATATTTCTTGAAGATTTTTGGGGGGGCATGGGGGTTGGGGAGGACTTAGTCAGGAATATTGCATCTTCAGAGGGATTAGAGCAACTTTTCCCCAGGGTAGTAGGACTGGTTTCAGTTACTCTCCAACACTCAGCTTGGTTTTTTAAAAGTGGGTATGACAGCTAGGGACTACCTCCTTTCATTCTCAGAAGGACCCTGAAAGATCAAGGCCTCAGAGCCTCTCAGTAGGAAGATTCCATCTAAATACATGGAACTGCAGAGAACAGAAACATTAAGCAGAATCAAAGTGTTTTTCTTGGTGGTCAAACGCCATGCAGACAACTTGAGAGGTGGACTGGGGTTGTTGGCTGACAAATGGAATGAAGGACAATACTTTGATGGCAAGTTGGACCCCATTCTAAATTTTCTTTAACTTTATTCATAATATCCCATATTGGGACCTCTTCTTTGAAATAATAGATAATGGGCTACCCATGTGTTCTATGATGAGAGAAAAGAGCAGAAAACACTTCTGAATTCAAGATACTTTCACCAGACAACCTGAGATTCTCTTGCTCTTCTACCAGTTTCTTTTTTCTTGTTTCTGCCCTACTGTATTTTTAATTTCTATAGAGTAGAACATGTACCATGTTTTACTCATCTTTGTGTCACCTGTGCAGCTTGCACACTTGGCATGTCTTTTGTATGTGTTTAATTACCTGTATCGTCCAGTAAACTGCAGGCATTGGATGGCAAACACTGTGTTGTATTTGGTTATATAGTCTTGGAACCCAGTGTAGTGCCTGGCATATAGATTTACTGAGTGTTTATTGAAAGCTGAATTGAGTAGTTGGATGTGTACATTTTCATCGTGGGAACAGATATTGGAACACTCTTTGTGGAGCCCAGTTCTGAGGCATATGCAGGGACTTTAATCCCACCCAGGGTCTCTTAAAGCCTGCAAGGGTTAAGTTCTTCCTGATGTCCTACCATATTTCTTCCTACCAATGGAAGCTCCTTTTTTTTTTTTTTTTTTAAATTCTCACCTGAGGGTGTGCTTCCATGGATTTCTAGAAAGAAGAAAGGGGTGGGGGTGGGGGGGTGGAGAGAAACATCAACCAATTGCCTCCCACACCCTTCCAACTGGGGATCGAACCCACAATCTAGGTTGTGCTTCCACCAGGATTTGAACCTGTGACCTTCTCGTGTATAGGGCAATGCTTCAACCAACTCAGTTCCCCAGCCAGGGCCCAATGTAAGCTCTTAATCCCTCTTCATCTCATTCACAGAACTTATAGAATCATCACAACCATCCCTGCCCTTCTTAAGCCTAAACTGTAGCATGTCATGAGGAAAGTGGTGTAACATTTTGAGCTGTCTCTGATCCCAAAAGAAAGGTGAATTCTCTATGGGGAGATTACCTCATGTAAGGCCGTGCCCTGGAATGTGGCCATTGAAGTCAGTGGGCAGTCAATTGGGTTTTATATAAAAAGCGACTCAAAATCCATTGTGCTGGCTGAGCCCATTTCCACTTTGTTACCATAAAAGAAACATAAGGATCCAGCAATAGTTCCTGACATACAGGAGACATTTCACAGAAATACTGTCGTTCTCTGATGTGGAAATAGTCTTTGGGGATAGGTAGCCAGGGGGCTGCTTTCAAGAATGGGAACCAGGAACTCAGGAAGTCCTGGACCACATTCTCTTTTTGTTGTTAGTTTGATCTCATCTCCATCACTTATAATTAAAATAGAGAGAAGACATTTGTTTCTCTAATACCCCCACAAAAATCTTCTAGATATTGAAAGACTGTAGAGATGTACTGTTAATGAAGATGGATTGAAATGGGTAGATTGGAAGTCTTTGAGATAAGGCTTCACCTAGTCTTTTACTTGCTTACACCCATCCATGTTCCATTTCTTCGTCAGCCCTAGAGTATGACCAAAAGGTGGCCTCTAACAGCTATGATTTCTGCCTTCCAATAAAACTTCAGAAATGTGCTCGCTCCTTTGCAGTGTTAAAAACCAGAAGCAGGCCATGTGACTTTCATAGTGCCAAATGCACCTGTGGGTTTGGATTTTGGAATCTCTAGGCGTAAGCAAATGCTCTCCTGCTTTCTTGGAAAATGAACACAGGAACCCAACAAACCTAAACCACTGTAGCAAGACTCCCTGTTTGCTGGCCTTGTGATTTTGCAGATGCCATATTCCATGGTGTGATGACAACACTTCCCTAGTCAACTAGCGTTGCCCTGAAACATTTCAAAAAATTCAAAATATATTTATTTTGCCCTTTATCTTTGTGCTCACATTGTATTCGCCTCACAAATATTTGGTATTTGAAAACCATGGAGCCAATTTTGAGTTTCAGGACATTTACAATGGGGTGTATTAGGTGACTCATCAACATGGGAAAAGGCAGCTTGATAGTCCCCCTGTCAGCTTCCAGCATTTGGGAGCTTGAATTAACAGCTCAGTCATCCTACTTGAATATACAATTACAGCTTACAGTCTGGTGCCAAGAGGTCTCTGTTAAAGGAATAAACAGAGAGAATTGGTGTTTCTAATTCAGTCCTCAGAATGTCTAGGCTTCAGTTTTGCTGCTTTGCCCAACAGCATGAGTCACACAATCCTGCAGGCACACTGCTGTCCTCTTAGGCTGAGCAGGGCTGCATGGAGAGCACCAGCTCGCTCCACCCTTGTTCTCCTGGGGGTAGGGGAGTGGACTAGTAGAGCAGGACTGACCCTTTGCTTTAGTTTATTTGTCTTTAAAGTTAGAGAGTCTTAAACACAAGTTACTAAGTGAAAGAACCTCATGTAAAAAGCTACTGTATGGCCTGGAAGGTGTGGTTCAGCAGTTGAGCATCAACACAGGAAACAAGAGGTTGTCAGAGTGATTCCCGTTAGGGGACATGCCCAGTTGTGAGGTCCATCCCCAGTGGGGGCTGTCCAGGAGGCAGCCGGTTGATGATGTTTCTCTCTCATCAACGTTCTTATCTCTCTATCCCTCTCCCTTCTTCTCTCTAAAAATCAATAAAAACATTTTTTTTAAGCCATTGTATGATTCCAACTCTATGACATTCTGGGAAAGGCAAAACTGGTTGCCAGGAGCTGGGAGGGAGTGGAGGAGTGACGAACAGTGGAGCACAGATCATTTTTAGGACAGTGAAATACTCTGTGATATTGTAATGGTGGATACGTATTGGTATGCATTTGTCCAAATCCATGGAATGTACAGTACTTAGAGAGAACCCTAATGTAGTGGACTTGGGGTGACATGGGGTGTCATGTAAGAAATGCAGCACTCTGGAGGGATGTTGATAGTGGGGGAGACTGTGCATGTGTGGGGCCAAGAGGTGGACTAGAAATCTGTGTACCTTCCTTTCAATTTTACTGTCACCCTAAAACTGCTCTAAAATTTTAATAAATTATTTCTTGAAGAGTGGTTATCCCTGTCCCCAGCGTCCTTTATAGCTCTGAGCTGATGACACTTTCTCTGTTCAGAAGGCTGTTTTATTAGAATGCTCAGCATCTCGGATTTTCCCTTGTGATGCCCAGGACTAAAAGCATAACATTTCAGGAGAACAACGAATAAGGCATCTGCTACTTATCATAAAGGGGGAAGAACCATGGCTACGCTGCTGGGTAGGAACTGAGCTGGGTCTCCAGCCAGAGCATTTTCTAGGACACCTGCTCTATCCCTGAGCATCATTTGATGACTGGGCACATCTGCTAAAGTAAAGTGTGGAGAGATGGGCTCCGTTCACTTCAAAAAGGTTACTTTTTCTTGTCTTGAGATGAACCAGGAGGTCTCCTGTTTGTGTTATTTTCTCTGACCCATACTTACGCATATTCTGTTGGTCTCCCAGGACAAACAGGGGATCCCGTGGTGGCTGGGACTGAGCTACAAAGGAATCTTCCAGTATGACTACCATGACAAAGTGAAGCCACGGAAGGTACGTGCTCGCTCTTGTGAGAGACAGGAACAGCGGAGAAGTGAGTAAAGTATGTTATGCCGCATAGCCTGGGCCTCTGGGCTCACCGCACCCTTGCTACTGTGAATGTGTGCAAATTACCACGCAGAATCCAGCCTGAGCTCCCTGGGTAAATGTTGTTTTTTTTGTTTTTGTTTTTGTTTTTCCGTCAATAATGAAAGTAAGCAGTTATAATTATTTAAGGTGAGACTGGCTCAGCTCTCCCTGAGGAAATGGGTGAAAGCACTCTGAGGAATTGTCCTATTCTTTCATTTCCAGGGGTGCTTTGCCTTCAGAAAAGTGGGGACAAGGTCATTCTTGAATCCTGAAACTAATTTGCATTTTCCAAAAGCTGTGTGTGTGTGTGTGTGTGTGTATGTGTGTGTGTGTGAGTGTGTGTGTGTGTGTGTGTGTGTGTGTGTGTGGTTAAAGGAGCTAAAAGAAAAGATTGTGAGTCCAAAAGAGATGAAAAATAAAGAGGCGTGAGAGGCATTTCTGCAAATCCGGTACATATTTTATGGCGTGTCACAAGTGAACAGAAATCTGGGGAAAATCAGGTCATTTGCCAAAAAGAAAGGAAAGCAGAGAGGGATCTGCAAAGTCATTGTAAACACAGAACAGAATGTTTGAAGGGGGCACAGTGCTTGAGTTTTCTCTGTTTTCATTGACACACATTTTTCAGACCAGAACAAATTGAAAAATTATAAGGGAAAAATATCTCTGAGGCAAGAGCTGTCATTCAGATCCTCTGGCAGAAGATCATGGAAAGAAACTGGTGTATAGTTTAAACCCTGAAATGCATATTAAAAGTCTCAAAACCACACTTGCTGTAGGAGAGAGAAAGCAATATTGATCCATTATGTCATTCCAGATTGCACTCCAGACTTTGTTAGCCACTCCCAGGATGGAAATGCACACTATACAGCTGAGCATATATCACCTATCCTGTTACATCCACTCTCAGCCAGCTCTTTATCATTCATGGAGGAAATGGTCTGTGTTGGGGAGGATTTTCACTCAATTCATCAAACGTCAGTTAAGTTCTAAGAAAAGATCCTGAGCAAATGATAAGAAGGAATTCTGTCTTGGGAACAATTCAGTAGGCACCTGGCTATTCAGAGCATATTATTTTGTGGCTATCTCCCAAAACTCTCTAGTTTGCACTCGGATCCGTAAAACAGGAATTGGAGCTGAAACCGGTTTGGCTCAGTGGATAGAGCGTCGGCCTGAGGACTGAAAGGTCCCAGGTTCGATTCCCGTCAAGGGCATGTACATTGGTTGCAGGCACATCCCCAATAGGGGGTGTGCAGGAGGCAGCTGATCTATGACTCTCTCTCATTGATGTTTCTAGCTCTTTATCCCTCTCCCTTCCTCTCTGTAAAAAATCAATAAAATATATATTTTTAAAAACAAAGAAAAACAAACAAACAAATAGGAATTGGACCCTGTGTTCTTATTTTCTCTCTGTTTTCCTTGGTCACACTCTCTCTTTCTTCCTGCTCTCCTCTACCTCTTTCCCATGTAAGTGCCTGTGCTTTTTCTCCTCAAGTTTTCTCTTCACTCCTCCTTCTTTTCATACTGACAGTCCTCTCTTTTCAACCTGCATGGTGGTTTTTCTGTTTGCAAGAACCAAGAATAAATGCTCGCAGATCCTTTATCAAAATGCTAGTTACCCCCTATCCAGCCCTTCATTGCCCTTATTGGTAGAAGGTCAAGGCCAATGTGGACACTTCAGTTCCATAGCCGAGTTCATGAAAATCCAGCAGTGGAATCATCCTCCTCCTCCTCCTTCTCCTCTTCCTCTTCCTCCTCCTCCTTCTTCTTTTCCTTCTTCTTCTTCTCTCTCTCTCTCTCTCTCCATTTTGAAAGACATGTTAACAAGTACCCATATGTTTTCAGTTTAAGTTATTAATATGTTTAAGTTTGCTTTGTTTCTCTAATTAAGGTACTAATGAAGACTGAAGATGTAACAAGATAACATGTGATGTATGTAAAAAGCAGGGTATGACACATTCCAAGGCCTCAATAAATTATAACTAATAAATTCAGCGGCTCTTAAGACTCTAAAATAGGTTTCAAGTTTAGAAGTAGGAAGTCGGAGGTGTGAATAATCAGCCATTGAATAAGAGCATTTACTCTCATTTGTGGAGCTTGTCCAGGTTATTTAACATTGAAAAATGTTAAAAGGTCAATATACTTATTTAGGATATTGGCTCTACTCAGACTGAGGTAAGACTTAAAATAACCTATTCTTCTATAGCCTCTTTCTCAACTTCTACTGCCAGTGAGGAACAACCAAGCCTTTAGGGTCAATGCTGATTCCTTCTTTCCTTCCTTCCTTTTTTCCTTCATTCATTTTTAAGTGCTCATTACATACCTGTTGTGCCAAGCAGACTGCAAGGTGCTGAGATAAACAAGAAATAGGTCATGTCTTCAGCTTGCCCAGGCTGCCAGGAGAGGGCTGTGTGGCAATTGCCTCAGATATCAGTGCTATAATAGGCCTGTGTGAGAGTTGGTGGTGAATTAAAGGACAGAGTCTCTCCTGGGCTTACAGGGGAGAGACACATCTTCATATGTAGCACAGCATGGCTGGGTCCTAAAGGGTGGACAGAAGTTTTGCAGATGGACAGATGGGCTGGAGAGATGTGTGGGCTGAAAGACCCACCCTCAGCTAGGGAAGGCACGCGAAGGAGAACTGGGTGTATGAGGGGAAAGAAATGCACCATTGGGGCTGGAATGAGGGGTGATAGGAAGTGGCTGCAGAGGGCTCTATGGAGGTCTAATGGCCACTCCCACAGCCCTGAAGTCTTTGCTAAGAGAATTTCATCTTCAAGGCCATGGGAGCCACTGAGCTTTTGAAGCAGAGGAGTGGCCGTTTCCAATTTTCATTATCATGGAAGCATCGTCTAGCAGCTGTGAGGAGGTGGGTGGAAGGAACACAGGACAAGACTTACAAAGCAGAACCTTATATCAGAAGTGGAGGCCAGAATTGGTGGGGGCTTGGGGTTGGCTATCAGTAATGGGATGAATAAGGGAAAATGGAGGAAAATATTTAGGAAGTACATATCGTTGACCAAAGTGTATGGTGGGAGAGGGTGACAGTCAGAGCAGAGGGGAATCTTGAATGATGCCAGGCTTCTTGACCAATCAAAGCATGGATATGAGAGAAGGGGCAGGAAGTTCACTTTGGATATACAGATCTTGGGGCTTGCTGGGACATCGGGATAACTGTGATAAGCAGGACATTGGGTATTCAGTTGGAACTCAATAGTACCAAGAATTTCCAATGCATAACTGAACCAGAGGTTGCACAGAGAAAAAAATGAAAGGCACTCAGCACTCGGGGAAAATTACTAAGAGATGGGATTAGATTTCAAGTCCCTGCCATGACTTTCCTGTGAGACACAGAAGCAGTCCAGCGGCATGACCTGAACCTGATGTAATTTGGGAAATGCTCTTTAAGAATGAATGTACAATCTGATTGTGAAATTAAGAGCAGATCTTTGAAAGCCCGTAAGAGGAAGAAACGTATAGGTTTCATTAGCCCGTGGCATACCTGCCTCTGCTGAGACCTGAGATGAGACTTAAATACCAAACTAGACACTAAACCAGAGCCAAGTTAAGAAGTCACAGCTGCAAGAAGAACCATGCCGGTGCTTGTTCTTCTTACATCAGCATCTTCACCATCACAACAAGGCCATGTAAGGCACCTGTGGGTCCCTGAAGCAGTGTGCATGCCCTGGCTCCAGACCTGTAACTATAAAGAGAGACATGTGGTGGTAACAACTATCTATGCAGATTCTCATATAAGGTGCCCAAGGGCTACCTTCAGTGCTTCAGGCCAGTGATGTTTAACCTCAGCTGAAAATCAGAAATCACGTGAAACCTTTTGAATGTATAGATGCCTCCGTCTCCCCCAGTCCCACTTGCCCCCTCTCTGACCCGGCCACTGAATGTTCAGAAAGCCTCTCTGATGGGGAGCTGGCGTGGAGCACCACCACCCAGCGTCTGTGCTTTTTTTCCAGACTCAAACTCCGGAGGGTCAGCCGGGCTCCGCAGGGTGTGAGGCATAGGAGAGCTGGGATGCTCCAGCCAGCCTCTGTGAAGGATGGCCCTCCAGGTGGTGCCACTCCTCTTCCTCAGACCAGACCCCCAGCAAAATGCTCAAGAATCCTGGAGTGGTCCCCAGCTCTGTGCACCTGGAGGCCCTTCTGCGGCTGAGGTCCTGCCTTACACTTTGACCTATTTCCTGGGGTTGTCACATGGTGCCACAACCAAGAGCCAGCAATTCAAAGAGACACGTGGCAAAGGTGGGCCTGCTCCCCGTCCCCTGAGGAACTTGAGGCATCTCTGGTGCCTCTGGCATGCACAGCTCTAGTAGCATCAGGAAGCCGTTAGCACGCCAGGCAGCTGAGCAGCTTCCTGTGAGAGTTCCCTCAAGTGGTTCCAGATGGCCCACCAAAAACAAATTTTAAGAATGGGTGGCTAATGGCTGCCAAGAAATGGGCAGGGCAGTAGCTGATTCCAGGTTCTCTGATTGGGATATAGTTTGCCATTCTGGCCACAGATGCTACCCTAAACTGCTTAATCCTCATTTTGAAGCCCATGGTAGCTATGGGAGAGGTGGAGTCAAATATAGAGTGTCTCTCAGATGGAATGGAGAGAACATTTTCATCCCCTCTCAATCACACAACCTATATGCTACCCGGGCCTTCTAAACAAATGGGTACCCAACCTTGCAGAAGTACAGCCAGTATGCAAGCTGCTGATGCTTGTTAGAATAAAAATAGCCTCTCTGCCATCGGGGCACACTTCGGGAGCAGCCAGACAAGGAGGAACACCCAAATAAGGTGACTTGGCTTCTGTGTACATTTGGTCCTTCAAGGCCAACTTCAGAAGTTTAGAAGTACATATGCAGAAGAATAGCTCTGCAAAAGCTAATCAGTAAATAGGACTTTAAGGAAATTATAATATATTTACTT